TTACCGGAAAACTACGTGTCTGATGGCAAAAAGTATTATACACAAAAAAAACTTCAATAGAAAGAAAAAAGAGTAAGTTGTGTTAAATCCTGATCTATTTAATAGGTTATGCGCAAATTGCAAAAAACTGTCTTTTGTGGCAACTTTTTGGAAACTCGATAACTCGCGTTCTATACAATATTATCAGCTACAATTTAGATTAAATATGGGTATTACAGACCATAACATCCTCACCCAATTTAAGCTTGATGGAATTTAAGCTGTTTGCACTCCACAGCAAAAAATTTAAAAAAAGATCCTTCCAAAAAACTGCTATAAAAAAAGTTTGTAGCAAACATAGAGACAGTTTTTAAATGCGCTATTATTTGTCCAGGGTTACTCCACAATACGTTAAAGTTCCAGTAAGTTTGAATGAGTGCAAGTGCCGAAAATGTTAATAACAAAAACATTGAGTTTCTAACAGTGGCGTGACAATTCGGTGCTGCCCATTCAGGCGTTATTAGCCCAATTCTACTAATAAAGGGCTAAAAATAAAGAGAAACTACAATTAATACTTTGGAAAAAAAGTAGCATGCATAAAGTTCACAGCACTACACTGTTACAATAGCTTTGCTGATGATAGTTTTTGTGGTAATAATGACAATTGCTGAGGAACTTGAATTCTTGTAAATTTTTTTTTTTTCATTTTTATTAAGACCATTACACTTATTTCATTACAATAATATATGTACAATAATAAATCATAAATACACATTAGAGTATAATACACAAAAATTCTTATTTTATATTAAGAGCTGATAAAACTTTTACACTTTTTTTTTGTCGAAATCGGCACTACCGACTTTACGTTCTATTTATAACTGTACACTTTACAATTCTGATTTCCTTTTCTTCGATATCTTTTTCTTTCTCTTCGTGTTCTTTTTCTCCATGTAGTTTTTCCTTGTCGTCACCAACTACTTGTATCCCTTATTCAACCAGAACATCATTAAAATTTTCCTCTAAATCTACTGTCAGAGGATCCTCAAGGACATTTAGCTCGTTTGGTTCAATGTTAGAACAAGTAGCACCACGGCAGGAGAGACTCAATTTTGAACATAACAATTTATGCTTTTTACAACCACGCAAGATGTTTTGCATTCACTGACATACCCACATGAGATATTATTTATGATATCTAGTGAAAACAGTTCGTCTTTACTGTGAACGGGCACTAAACCAATTGGCGTACTCTTCCAGCCTTAATCAAAGAGATTCAAAGGGTTATCTAGCCACGTCTGTATTTGCAAGTATACTCTGAGACAATGCTGAGTAGCAGCTTCGAGGAAGGAGGATTTTAGAGTTTAAATACAGATCGGTTTTCTGTTTTGACGAACTTTTCGTAGCGTGACTCGTCAACTGTGAGTGTAGTATTCTTTCGACTTTATCAACGTAAAATGATCACATTGCCACTTGCTGCAATTTCTGTAGGAGAAGCTTTGGAGTTGTTGAAAATAAGACAATTGTACTGGAATTAGGCCCACAGCGGCCAAATGGGCCACCCCGCGCTGCCATGCCGCAGTCAGAAACTAAATGTTTTTGTAGTTAACATTTTCGGAACTTGCACTCATTCTAATTTGATAAAACTTTAACGTATTGTAGAGTAACTTTAGAAAAATAACAGTGCGTTCGAAAAATGTGTTTATGTTGACAACAAACTTTTCTATAGCAGTTTTTCAAAAGGATCTTTTTTTTATTTCCACTGCAGTGTACAAAAAGTTGAAATCCAATCAAGCAAAGATTGAGTGTGAATAGTAAGGGCTGCTCTACCTTCAGTTAAAGTTTTAGCTCATAATATTATACAGAACGCAAGTTGTTGGGTCTCGAAAAAATTGCCATAAAACTCGATTTTTTACCATTTGCGTATAATCTATTGAACTAATCGGGATTTAACAAAAGTTATTTTTTCGCCTTTTTATTACGGTTTCTGAAGTATGCAACCCTCGTGTCGTCAGATGCCTATTTCTCGAGGAGATCGCAAAAAACCAGGTTTTACATATTTCGATATTAATTTGACAAATGCACTGCAATTCAAAAGTTATAGAAAATAAATATATTCATATTCATGAAAAAATCTACAAAAAAATGTGTTTAATTGTTGGTATTAGTTTTCCGTATTTAAGCCCCCCGATGGGCTTGATCTCCTTGAGTGAGTTATCTAGAACACGTCTTCCTAATGTTCAATGAAAGTTATTTTAGTTAAAATAACAGTTATTTCTTGCTAACGTTACATATAATTATTTAACAAGTTTACCTTATGCTATGTACATTGCTACATTATAAACTGAGATATAAAAAAAATTATTTAAATGTTTCTTGCATTATTATCGAAAAATGTAGGAGAAACCAACAAGTTTGACTGATTTGTTAACAAAAACCGTATTTGAAAGCAAAAAATTTTTTTAAACGTAGAAACCATTTCATTAAAAAAAAAAACAATTTTTTCTCTTCGTATTATGTAGAGAGAAAGCTGTTAGAAAGAATTTTGGTGAAATACCTGAATAAAAAATAAAAAACAAACACAGGATAAAGAAATGCAAGAGTATACTGGCTAACACTTAGGTGAATTAAAGCTTTATGTTAAATATTTACGCAAATACAGCCAGAAGGACCCTAATTAAATACTATCAATAACAACTAACAGAAAATAAATAAGCCAAAACAGAAAATATAAGATAAATAATATTGTAAATATTAATATTGGATACATGTGCATATAAAATAAGAAGACCTGCAAGTAGATATTATATTAAGATTATAAACATAGAGGATAAAATAGTACATTAAGTTGCACTAAGAAATAGACGAAATCTAAAAAAAAAAAAAAAGTAGTACCCAAGCAAAACAAAAGGAGACCATTGCATAAAAGTTGTTCACCAAATTTAAAAAATTTGCAATCAATATTATTTGACAACCCAGTAAACAGTTGTTGAATAACGTTAGAAATTGTCACATACATGTGTATGTAGATGATGATTTAATATACATAAAAACAAAAGTAAACCAAAAGCTTACGAAAAAAAAGTTATAGTAGTGATTAAGTACAGCTTATGGTAGTTAAAAAAAGAATAGTAAAGAAATTAATTAATAATAGTATTCACGAAAAATACGAATAAAGACATGAAATGCTTGTACTATCAAACAAAAAAGTATTGTTGTGTATTAAAGGTACATAATAAATTAGAAATCATAAGAATCTTTACTTATTAAATAATAAGATCTGCCTAGACGGGGGAAATAGAAACAGCTATAACTGTAATTTTAAGAAGTTCTAAGACACAAGAAGAAACTCATTACCAAACAGATATTACCGTAAAACGAGTTATTTATGACAGATAAAGCAGAATCATAATGCTGAACGTGATCTGCGAGGGTGTGTGTATAACAAATGTCTACGAGTACGGCAACATACACAACGATATTATTATACAGTTAAATTCTAGCGTATAGTAAATTTTTATTTATAATACTATTATTATCATCATCATTATAATAAT